CTCATATGCATGCAAAAGTTGAATAGTGAATAAGGAAGACAGTAGAAGAACTGATGCATTTGAGTTATGGTGTTGGAAAAAAATACTAAAAGTGCCATGGGCTACCAAAAGAACAAATAGATCTGTGTTGGAAGAAGTGTAGCCAGAATGCTCCTTGGAAGCCAGGATAGCAAGACTTTGTCTTTCATACTTCAGACTCGGACATATCGTCAGGAGGGAACAGTCACTGGAGAAGAATATCATGTTTAGTAAAGTGGAGGGTCGGAGAAAAAGAAAAAGACCTGCAATGAGATGGACTGGCACAGTGGCAGCATCAAGGGGCTCAGGTGTAGCAACGATTGTGAGGTTGGGCATAGAGTCGCTCTGAGTTGGTACCAACTCGATAGCACTTAACAACAACATAACCACAGGCTATATGTGTTCATATTAGACATCTTTGATTATCACATTGAGGGTGTGTATACTAGTATCTAGTGGGTAGAGGTCAAGAATGCTGCTAAAATATCCTATTATGCACAGGACAGCCCCCCAGTGAGGTGCACAAAGCAATTTGGCCTTCGTTCTTGGTTCTTGGACCACATTCAGGCTAATTATTTGCAGCTGGTTAGAAGGATCACTTGGCAGCCCAACCTCAGAAGGCATGATTAAACTATCATGATTATGTGATGAAGCCAATAAAGCGAGCTTCCTGGTTGGTGACAACATCTGCTCTCAGGAAGATAGCACATCCCTTGGGACATGGAAATACCATACTGAGAACCCTTTTCAATCTCACCCTTTGCATCTCTTTGTATCCTTTTTGGCTATAGTAAAACTGTAGTCATAAATATGACATACTCTCTATGAGATTCTGTGGGTTGTTCCAGAGAATTATTGAACCCAACAGGGCAAGTGGAGCCAGCAAGTCAGAAAATAAGTATGCCAAGGGTGGCATTTTGAAGGTGTGGTGAGAAACCAGTCCCAAAGTTGTAGCCAGCAGAGCAGATAGTTAGGGTGTTGTGTGGTATCCCCAAACTTGCAGCTGGCATCTGCCTACTTGGTAGTCTGAAGGACGGTATTCTTTTAACTTGTGAGATGTGACCTAGCTCTGGGTGGCTAGAGTCAGAGAAGCACTGCATGGGCCTCTAGGATGATGTCCTTCTAACCTGTGAATTCTGACCAAGCTCCAGGTGGCTAGCTGAGAGTGTTCATGGACAGCTGGCAATGAGGACGGCAAAGTAAGATGAGGACTGGATTAATTTCCACATTTTGGGAACTGGAAACATGCTGATCCTTAACACATGATTGATGATGAGGGGGGGATCTACCCCTGTCTTTAATGCACCCAATAAAGAACTATTATTGTTGTTGTTAAGTGTCGTCAAATAACTTATAGCAACCCTATACAGGGTTTCAGATGCTGTAAATCTTTACAGAAGCAGAAAGTCTCTCATCTCTCTCCTGCCGAGTATTTGGTGGTCTCAAACTACCAACCGGGTGGTTCGAAGTGCAGTGCTTATCCTACAGAGTCACCATGTTCCCCACACAAAGAATCATCTGGCCTGAAATGTTAATAGTGCCAAGGTTAAGTAACTCTACTTTTGTTTTGACTCATAGCAACTCTGTATAGGGTTTCCAAGGAGCGGCTGATGAGTTTGAGCTACCAACCTGTAGTTAGCAATCCAGTGCTGATCCTACAGCACCACAAAATTATTTTTGCCTGGAAAATAATTTAAGGTTGAATTTTCACACTTATGATTTTTAATTGTTATCTCACAAACAATATATCCAAATTATATTTCAAAATGAGTAATAGAGTCTTTCAGAGTGTTATCCTATTTTCTGATTATTCTTTTCAAGGGTGTCCCATACCTCTGTATTTTCATACCTGCAAAATCAAAAGTTAAGTAGGATCATAAATAAGACATAGGAAGGCATGCAGGATTAGATCAGGAATCAAAAGCTGAGGCTGCCTGCATTGTTATTTGATTGGACCCCATTATTTTACAGATGAGGACATAAGACTCTATTAGTTCCCAGAACAGTGATTTTTCTGGCTTAAATGGTTGGGTGATCCTAATAAGTCTTTCTGTGCTTCATATTCATCTTTAAAATGAGGGTGGCAAAACTAAGGTACTTTTCAGCTACAAGATTTTATTCATCTAAACTTGCTGCAAAAAGCTACATTCTAGTGGCAAATATTAACAACTTTTAGATTTACACACCACTGCTAATGCTCATTCTTGCTGTTCTGTCAAGCTGATTGGTGACCGATCTGTGCAGAGTACAATTGCTCTAAGTAAGTTTTCAAGGCTCTGAGTTTTCCGAAATAGATCACCAGGCATGCCTTCTAAGGTGCCTCTTCCATGGATTTGCAGCACCAACTTTCGGCTATTAGTGTAGCACTTAGCCAACTGTGCCACTGAGGGAACTTATATAATTAAAAACAAAATAAAATCTAACAGCATGCTGCAGTAACATAAATGAGCACTGTCAACTTGGTCAGTGTTTTAAAAACTACTTATGAGACACAAGGGGAATCTTGGAGAGATGCTTTTAAAAGAATGTACTGGGAGTCCTTGTGTGTTAGGACTGGTAACCCTACAGCAATAAAGCCGACCTGGTACTTCACCCAACTCTTCCAACCTTTAAAACCCAAACTGGAGAACTCTGTTCAATGGTGTAAATACCTATACAACAAAATGTCCATTTTATTTATTTGGTTTCAGCAAAGGAGTTTTATGGAGGTATGTGGAGAAATCAATGACAAGTTTGAGTAACTGAAGTACAGCCATGAACCAAGATCACATATTTCTGTTGATGTCTTAATACTGTATCAAATCGGCTCCATGGAAATGAATTTTAAGTAGTTAATTCTCTCCACTGCCAGAGAGTGTGTAAGAAGAGGCCATCATACTGTTTAAAAATGAAAAGGGGGTTCACATTCACAATGCTAAGGAATTACTGTTCTAGCATAAGTAATTTCGAGTGTGAGTCCATTTTCCATAGTAGAACTATCCTGATACCCTTGTTTCCACATGGGCTAGTAACACAACAAGTTATTTTACAATGAGTAAACCGTAATGCTCTGGTAGCGTAGTGGTTACGAATCGGGCTGCGAACCTAAAAGTCAGCGGTTCGAAACTACCATCTGCTTCGCGGGAGAAAGATGAGGCTTTCTACTCCCGTAAGGATTTACACCCTCGGAAACCCTGTACAGGGTCGCTATGGGTCGGAACCGACTCGACGGCACGTAACAACAACAAAACCGTAATGCAGTATAACTCAAAAATCCACCTAGATGGATTTACTTGTCACTGTTTCCTTATTAGTAAGTGCCGTGGAATCTGTTTCGACTCACACTGACCCTGTATAGGGTTTACAAGGAGCAGCAGATAGGTTTGAACTGCCCACCCTGTGGTTCGTAGTCGATAGCTGATCCTACAGTGCCACATCCTCGAGCTCAAAATACAAGGATGGAAAGAACAAAGAACGCAGTACAGTCACAGCATCCCAAACACCTCTATTCCCCACATTCTCATCCCCGAGAAAGTCTCACTCTCACCTGCGGTACGTTCCCATCCAGCGCTCTCTTGAAAGCCTCCCAATTCCCCGGGGGCTGCCCCGGCACCCAGGTCCGGGTATCCTTGGGCAGGATGGTCAGGAACTGCTCCAGCACCAGCAGTTCCAGGATCTGCTCCTTGGTTCGCATCTCAGGCCTCAGCCACCGACGACAAAGTTCCCTGAGCCGGCTGAGCGCCTCCAGCGGCCCAGCCACCTCGTGGTAACGAAGCTGCCTAAACTGCTGTCGAAAAGTTTCTGGGTCTTCACAGTCCCCGGGAGGGCCGGATTTCTGACTTCCGGTTGGGTCTTGCTCCACTTTCACTCCCAGAAGTTCCTCGTGCACGGGCGGGAAGGCGATCCTGGACCTCGCAGCCATCGTCCAATCTCTTGCGGTGAAGAGCGAACTCATCTTTCTTTGGCATGTGCTGACTTAAGAGGAGTTCTGCCTTTAGGTGAGAAAAGAGTAAATCCTACAAAAAGCTAAATAATTCATCGGCCCTCCCCAAGAACACAAACGCACGGCTGTCGGGTCCCAAACAGAAAGCCCACCGGCTGGCTCCTCCGCCCGACTACTCCTTTTCCCACATCGATCCCACTCAGGAACCGCGTAGTCTCGTGACCAAGAAAGAGAAACCCGCGCCGGAAGTGCATCACCAATTCCTCCCCTCCGATGACTTCCGGTGGCTTATACTTGGCGCGCTGGTGACCGCTTCTCCGGCGTCGGTTTTCCGTAGCTCAAGAAAATACCCGGCTAATTTTTGGAAAAGGAAACAAAAAAATTTTAACTAAGCGCTTCCACGTACGTCAGAGGCTATCACTTTTGATATTAACAAAGATGAGTAAATTGACCCCAGTATCATCAAGCTAAGGAGCTCTGGTAGCATAGTGATTACCAGTCGGGCTGTTAACCTTAAGGTCAGTAGTTTGAAACTACCAACCGTTCCATGGGAGACAGATGATGAGGCTTTCTGCTCCCGTAAAGATTTACAGCCTCGCTATGAGTCGGAACCCACTGCACGACACACCACTACCATCATCAAGCTGCTGCTTAGCATGGTGAATCAGACCAATATGCCCAACTTCAAACTCCAAACTCGGAACTTTGTACTGCTACAGTGTTAGCCTATTGTAATATTTTTCAGTTAAAGCTTCCTGGTTCATTCATTCGTTAAAGAAACATAGGTGACTGTCTGCTATGCTTCCCACTCCCAGAAAAATCTGTAAGTTGAATTTCATGCACTGAACTGTTAACCATAATTTCAGAAGTTCAAGTCCACCAGCCACTCCACGGGAGAAAGCTGAGACTTTCTGCTTCCATAAAGTTTCAAGTATAGCCTCCAGAACCCTATTGTTAAGTGTCGTCCAATGGATTCCGACCCATAGTGATCCTATATAGGTACCAAGTAGCAGCTTGTGTGTTTAAACCACTGACCTTGTGGTTAGCAGTCCAGTGCTCCCAGAACACTTAACTAATAGCCCACTGTAGACCAGAAGCCTTTCCAAAAACATAGTCAATGGACACAAATTTTGTATGTTGCATGTATTATATACTAAACCCATATAAAAACTGAATTTTCAGTATAAGATACAAAAGTATTTATAAGAAGTGCAAGATTTTCCAGGCTGTTCAAAACGAGTAGCACAGTGAGGGCTTTATGCATTTTCTTTTCTTTTTTCACAATAGTCCTTTATTTGGATTTGTTAATCTTGAAATGGTAGGTAACCACAGCAGCAGCCCTGAACCTATTATGCATAACAATCAATTCAACTTTTTCTTGCAATGTCACGACTATTCTTTGCTTCTTAGAAACATTTTCAGCACTATTAGTGGCTATTTGTATGGGTCTCTGGTGTTATTCACAGTTTAAGGTACTGCACTAAACACAATGAAGATATGCAAGAATCATGACAGACCATTTTTTACTGTGATATGCAATTTACTGGGGAGACAAACTGCTCATGCAGAGATGGTTAGCGCCACACTGTGTTTTTCAAAAAGAGCTCTGTAGGAGTAGACACGTGCAGTTCAGAGGTCAGCTTATATGTTGTTGAGTACCGTTGAGTCAGTTCCAATTCATAACGACCCTGTATAGGGTTCCAAACTGTAAGGTCGGCAGTTCCATCTTACCAGCTGCTCCTTGGAAACCCTATACAGGGTCGCTATGGGTCGGAATCGACTTGACGGCACCTAACAACAATAACACATAGGGTTCCAGAGGAGCAGCTGGTGAGATTGAACCACCAAGCTTGCCATTCAAATCGACCTTGCAGTCTAGCGCATTAACCCACAGTGCCACACCAGGACTCCCAATTACAGCTGAGCACTTAACCACTGTGCCACCAGGGCTACTTAATAATGCCCACCAATAAGAATAACATATAGTATATATACTCAGAAAATGATATACCATGAAGACAAGAAGAAGTACAAGAAATACATTGCAAGGGAACAATCTCAAAGATTAATTAGGTGAAAGTAGCAAGTTGGAGAAAGGATATGAATCGTGATACTATTTATACATAAAACATAAACTTGTTTGAATGTCTATGAGTTATATCCTGTTAGGTACATAAGATACTAATCATCTTGGCAACCTCTAAGGAGAGAAATGGAGTGGTTGGAAACTAGGAAAGGGAGAAAGACTATTGTATATACTTTTAAAATGTTAAATCATGAAATGTGTTGTCTACTTAAGAAATAAGTTTTTAAATGTTTAATGAAAACAGCATTATAACTCACTTTGTTGTTGTTGTTGTTAAGTGTTGTCTAGTTGGCTCCAATCCATAGCAACCTTGCCCACAGTGCCACACCAGTACTGCATAACTCACTTAAATATGGGTAATAAGGGGGAAAATGGGGATACTCACTTAGAAAAATTACATATTTTTGGTGGTAGTTATGTGCTGTGGAGTCAGTTCTGACTCATAGTGACCCTGTATAGGGTTTCTGAGATTGTAAATCTTTATGGGAGCAGAAAGCCTCATATTTTTCCCCCAGATCCTCTGGTAGTTTCGAACTGCTGACCCTGAGATTAGCAGCCTTACTCATAACCACTGCACTACCAGAGCTCCTATGTACATATAGGTGTGTGTGTTGTTGTTGTTGTTATATGCTGTGGAGTCGTGTACAACTCATAGCGACCATGGA